TATATTGTACCGTTTTTAAATAAAACGAGCGGTTCGAATTTATATAAATATATTTATTTATAACTTTACAGTTCGGTATTCTCTTATAAACTAACTTATTCCTAAGATCGTTACATATATATATACTAAAGTTACTATTTTCTAGAAAGTTCCCACCTCTAGGCGAACGCGACAGATCTTTCTCAAAATATCGAGTCGCTTTCGAGATGCCGCCGCGCCGCATGGAAGCATGAGGTGCTGTTTCGAGATGCAACCGTTATACGTGCCTCGTTAAATGCACGTTCGTAACACTGCTCTTCTCTTAGATCTGAGCGTCCCGATCAGCAACTCTATATGTAGGCCCAGGATGGCGGAATCTACAGGACTCTCCAGCTCTGCATGAACCCCTCAGAAAGAAATAACAGTCTACTGTCTTTGAAGGACACAATCTCTTTGGATTAGTGCAACACACGGTAATTCTTACACCGGTTTCTCGGAAGATCACTTCTAGCATGCTTCTGACAATCTTCCAATCCAGATTATCTAGTGCATGGCCTATCTTGGGTAAGGCCAAATTCTTAATGTCGTAATTGCAGACGATTTTCTTCAAATTAGTTAGAGCACACCATATATCCTCGTAGGTTGCCCTGTCTGTATACGACTTCCTGGTCACCATGTACAGCAAAGATCGAGAACCATCTTCTAATCTCAGTACTCTTCCAACTTTAGGCTGCTGGTTTTTTAACTCGTCCAAACGACCGAACTTCTTATAAAATACAGATGAGATTCCTTTAGTCATCTCAAGATCTTGGGCAACACAGTGGGCTAGAGAGACGTTATGCGGAACACTAAAAAGATCCTGCTGAACTTCTGTCGTCACGCCGAATCTAGCATTCTTTCTCTCTGCGTAATTTGACATAAACTCCTTAAAGCTTAGTCGCCGTTTATCTTTGATCTCATGTTGAAGGATTCGTGCTTCTTCTGTTTCATTTGAGCCAGCATAAGGTGCAAGCCGATTTATGTGAACTACTTTTGGTTTACCTTTCGGTAACTTTTTAATTCGGTATATTACGTCATTTATTCTCTTTTTAATTTCATACGGACCCTCCCATTGTCTTTGCAGTTTAGGAGACATGCCACGACGACGTTGTGGATTATAAAGCCAAACAAGATCACCTACTTTATAGCTTTCATTTTTGCATCGAGAATCATATTGATCTTTCATTCTGTCACTGGCTAACTGGATGTGTTGTCGGGCAAGTTCATGAATGTTGTTCATTCTTAACTTCAGGCGGTCGACATAATCTTCGCTTGCAACATGTTCTTCGGAAGGTCTGGAGCCAAACTCTAAGTCGCAGGGCAAACGAACTTCACGGCCTAACATCAGGCAGGTTGGAGTCTGGCCTGTAGTTTCATTCACGGCCGAGCGGTATGCCATTAAGAATAAACGAATATGCTGATCCCAATCTCTTTGATGTTTTGATACAACTTTGGACAGGTGTTTACCCATCGTTCGGTTCATCCTCTCGACCATTCCATCTGATTGAAGATGCAGGGGTGTCGTTCTGGTCTTATTGACACCAATCAATTTTCAAAAGTTTTGGAAAAAGTTTGACTCGAAGTTTCGCCCTTGGTCGGAGTGGATCTCCAAGGGAACACCAAATCGGCTAAAGAATTCTTTAACAAGTACCTCTGCAACGGTAGCAGCTTCCTGATTTGGTATCGCATAGGCCTCAGTCCATTTCGTAAAATAATCCATGGCTACCAGGATATATTTATTTCCATCATTCGTCTCTGGAAGTGGACCTGCAATGTCGATTGCTACTCTCTCCATAGGACTACCAACATTGTACTGTTTCATGGGTGCCCTCTTTTTACCAACTGGACCATTACTAGTTGCACACAGTTCACATTTCCGGCACCATCTTCTTACATCATCTTTACAGTTCACCCAATAGAACCGTTCTCGAACCTTTTGCAGAGTCTTCGTAATACCAAAGTGTCCACCTGATGCACCGTCATGCAACTGACGCAATACTTCTGACACTTTACTTTTAGGTACAATCAACTGAAGCTTAGTTTCTGTACCATCATCGTTCTCAAAGGTTCTATACAGAAGATCATCTTTCAGCACTAGGCAATTCCATTGGCTCCAGTAACACTTGACTTCGGGACTACATGCACTAATGTCTTGCCAAGAAGGTCTTTCACTTCGACGCACCCAATCCAATACTCTTTTTATACATGGATCATCTGCTTGGGCGTCTTGTAGCTGTTGAGGCTGCCATTGGTCATTAATAACGGTGGTTCGCCTAACGGGGCAAAATCGTTCTTCTAATTCAAGACAATGATTACGATTTGCACTGTATGGCCGTCTTGATTGAACATCAGCATTTGCATGACTTTTTCCAGCCCATTGCTCGATCTGTTCTAGCTTTCTGACTATTGTATTATTTTCTTGCACTTTGTGGCGAATGTGACCTTCGTTGTTACCATTCCAACATCTGGGTTCACGTTTCTTCGGCATCATGTTACGAACTACTTTCCGTACGATTTCCTCTAGACGTTTATCGTTTCGTTCGTCACTTTCTTCAGAGGTTCGTACTTGATAGCTCCGTGAAACTCGACTAGCTATCTCATGTTCCAAGGCAATGGCGAGCGCTTCATCTAAAACTTTCGGTCTTGCTAGTCGTAAAGCTTTCTGTAGTTCACTGTCTCTCAACCCATTGACGAAGGCATCTACAGCAATTTCTTCCAAAATGTTGTCTGGTACCTCTGGATAGGCCAACAGCGCTATACGAGCAATATCCGCTTCAAATTCTTGCAAACTCTCACTTGCTCGTTGAATTCTACTTCTTATTTGCGCCTTGTAGACTTGTTGTAGATGGGCATCTCCGTAACGTTTGTCTAGTCGAGTAAACAAGGTCTGGTAACATTTTTCTTGACCCTTAGGAATCGATCTTAGGATATCCGCAGCATCACCTCGTAAAGCAGCAGTCAAGGAAACGGCTTTTTCTTGTTCTGTCCAATGATTGGCTGTCGCAATAGCTTCAAATTGTCTAAGGTATATGGACCAAGAGGACTTTCCATCAAACGGTGGCAATTTGAATCTCATATGATGTGTCGTTTCGTCTCTCGGTGATTCTTCTTTCACTACCGGATCTAAGGCTACCGTATTAACGGGTGGTAGCACTTTCGTATTAGTTATCATGGTCTCTAATTGTTTGATCTTCTCTTCTACGTTGTTTACATTTTTCTGCATCTGATTAAATGTTCTTGAGACTTCTTTAAATTTCTCATTGTTTTGATTACATATTTCTTTAATTATTTGAGAAGTCTCGTCGAATCTTCTAGCAACATTTTCAAATTTCTCGTCATTTTGTCTAGCTGCTTCTTTAATAATTTGAGATGTTTCATCGAATCTTTTGGAAACATTCTCATCATTTTTTCTAGAAGATTCTTCAATCATATGCGACACATTTTCAAATTTACTATCATTTTGTTTAGAACTCTCTTCGATCATTTGTGAGACATTTTCAAATTTTCCATCAATTATTTTTGTTAAAACTGCTTCTTCTGCTGATTCTGGGTATCTGGGTCATCTCCATTATTGTTAAGAACATTTTTCAGTCGTTCTTGGAGGATCTTCTTGGACCCGCTGCAGTCTTCATCGCGTTCTTCTAGTTGCTCACGCAACTGTTTCACTGAAAGTTCTACTAACAGCATCTTTGGTCAGGCACACACGTACTTTTTAAATGTTTTTTCGTACAACATTCACTACCGAACTACGCGGATGTTCCCGACGAACAATACTTTTCAAAAGTTCAAAAGTCTCTTTTTTTCCACTGTTGGATTTATTTTTAAATAAAACAAATCAATTGTCCTCACACTGTGACACCAATTGTAACGTGATTAAATAAAACGAGCGGTTCGAATTTATATAAATATATTTATTTATAACTTTACAGTTCGGTATTCTCTTATAAACTAACTTATTCCTAAGATCGTCACATATACTAAAGTTACTATTTTCTAGAAAGTTCCCACCTCTAGGCGAACGCGACAGATCTTTCTCGAAATATCGAGTCGCTTTCGAGATGCCACCGCGCCGCATGGAAGCATGAGGTGCTGTTTCGAGATGCAACCGTTATACGTGCCTCGTTAAATGCACGTTCGTAACAATATATATATATATATATATATATATATATATATATATATATATATATATATATATATATATATATATATATATATATATATATATATATATATATATATATATATATATATATATATATATATCCGGTTTTTTAGGCGTTACGCCCGTCCGGTAGGGATCTATGGAGGAGTATCACCGAGCCGCAAGCCCTTATCTCTTGCCGTACTGCTCCACCATAGGCCGATCAGAACCCACAAAAAGCAGTAATAAGAATAAAATTTTGTAATATAATTAAAAATAAATATTTTTATTTTTCATAAGAAAATATGATAATAAACGTAAAGAAACGTAACCAAACCTGCCCCTTGTAAAAAAAGGTATAATTTTCAGTTAAAAGTAGGTAATAAAATGTTATTTTAAAGTCCAATTTGAAATTAATTAGAAAACATAATTTTGAATAACTATGGCAACACTGGTTAAAATTATCATTTTTGACCATAAGAAACAGTTGTCATTACTGTCATTTCTTGTTGTTTCATGGTAAATAATGGCGGTGGCTTTTAAAAATCGGGCATATTTTAAAGGGAAAGTACATAAAAAATAACGTTTTGCACCGCATAAAAATCATTGCACAATTATTAGTAAGTGTAGCAGAATTCATTGATATAAATTTCATCTCCGTAAACATGGTTCCGGCTTATTACACTAGTACCCAGAAGGTAAACCAAAAATTACCTGTAAAAGCATTTGTGATGAATTAATATGTTTTTTATATATTTTTTTGAGGAAGCAGAAGATAACTTGAATCAATTTAAAAACGTTTTTATTTGTGTTCTGTGATAAAGGCATCAAATTTGACAGGTAATGTCAATAAGAAAGAAGATAGTTGTTAACGGCAAAAGGGAAGGGACAGACAAACTGACAACGATTTAAATTTAACGGAAAAAGTGCGATAGGTTTTAGAAGAAGCTCATCTCATAACCCACCTTCAGGTACAAAAGTACAAGTAGCATTTATAGTTATGGCATAGGTAATTTTATAAGCCGTTTTAATCGTTTTTGGTTTATAAAATACTAGTTTAATTAAGATAACAGGGTAAGTAGAAGTCGTTCAAAATGTTTTTGTTACCGTTTTTGTGTTCCAATTTTTTTAAAAGTTCTAATACAATTGAGTTTTTTATCAATGGTTTTCTATGCGTATGTTATATTTTTGGTATTTTCATATATTTATCCAATTTTTGGTTTTATACATTGGCATGTGCAGTATTTACAGACATTGTACATTAATCACTAACTGAAATCCATTCATATAAATTTCAAGTTCTTAGAGGCCTTACCCTTGTACCAAATGCATGAAATTTGTGACTGTGTGCTTTTATTTCAGTTCAATACATCAGACTTTACCTAGAATGGAATATCGTCTTAAAGGATTCTATCATTTTTCATAAAAATTTACATACCTATATGTTGTATTCAATGGTTCCTATGGGCAGATAGGACAATAATTGAATCAGTCATTTTGAAAAGGGGCCACTTCCACTTTTTTAAATTTCACAGGAGAGGTAAAAAATGTCTTTATTACTATTAAGAACTTAGTGTTTTTATGTATTTTTGGTTGAATGATTTACTATACAAAGCCAGGACTATTATAAAAATCCACAAGGAAATTAATTCCTGCAGCTGGCTGTATACCACATATCACAAAAAAGAGGTTAAATCTTTGTAAGTAGGTATATTGAAAAAACCCTTAAATGGGCTACATCAAATTAACACGAACATTTTCAGAATAATAATTCCATCATCAGGTTAAAAATGCAGGTTGACATGCCTGAGCCACCAAAATATTAGGGTAAAAACCCTTTAAAATAAATAAGGTTACCAAAGATTGTACATATTGTTAATAATAATTGATGTTTAATATTTAATTATATTTTACTTCAGGTAGCATGGGTATACACCCATGCCTTACGTGAGTACCGTAAGCCAGAGAGTAAACAGTGATAAAATTCTATGAATTTTATCTATGAGGTTATGCATGGGTCAGCTAACACCATACCCAAATTATCTGAGGAAAAGCTAAATTCATAATAAGAGTTAATACTGATACTAAACTTTTTGTTTTTTGGAACTTCTTTACCAAAGCTTCCTGTGGAACTTTTGTTTAAAATTTGGCCACCATTTTTTAAAAGCAGCTACATCTATATAAGTAATATGTCTAATATCAAATTTATTATGACATGATGAAGACACAATTAAATCTTCATATTCCTCTACAGAGAAAATTCTGTCAAATTTTTCTTTTAATAGTACCGAAATCTCTTGTCATAATCATTAAATGAGTGGCCTCCTTCTGGAAACTAAATAGTAATTTTTTTGAACTTCATGGTCATTACTAGGGCCAGAAGATATCAAATAACAATATTATTACGATTCTGACCTGGACATCCATCACAAAAGAGATCCAGCAATTTAAAGTTTTCTGGAATTTTGTTGTTTATATAGTCATTTAAAAAGAGCAAACTCTGGGGCCTCTGTGTCCTTCGCCTTTGTGGTAAGAGTAAAAGTTTGTTTTGTAGTTTTAAGATTCTGTATTTTGATTCCTCAGACCTTTTTTCGGTTTTAAAGGAGGAGCTTTACTTGGCACTACATCACTATACAACATTGTATTACCCACAGTGTCTGTTTCCAAATAGAGCTATACAACTACTAAATAGTTCAACATCATTGTCAATATAATAAACCGTTATACAGTGGGTAGGCCGGATATAATGAACCATTATATTGTGGGTGAGTGCAATCACCTTCATTTTGAAAATGGGTTATCACTAGGAGATAACTTGTTTTCAAACTGAACTGGTTTGTGCGGTATGCTGTATTTACGGTAATAATAATGAAAGTTGACCCGTTTTTATATGGAATAGATGTGTCTCTGTGTGTTAAATAGAAATTCAACAGAAAGTGGAGATGACCTCTTTTCATAATGACCAACTCAATTAGTTTAGAGCACCCAACATAACCAAATATATTTTCCTCAGTGCACCACCTCACAGTGTTGGCGCATTTTTAATTTTTATGTATATTACTGTTTAAAATATAAAGTTACTTTTACGAAATTATAATTTGTGATAAGTAGCCCAGGGAAATAAGCTTTTTTTCGTGACACTCATCCGGCCAGGCAACCGACAGTTGTTTTGAGTAGTAGGGACCTCTATAACAAGAACCTGTATGTTTCCTGCAGTCGATTTGTTAGACTTAAATTAATTATTAACAAATTACGGTCAAAAAACGGTAAATTTTCGCCTATATCTATCATCAAAAAGTAAAGCAGTTGAAACAAATTTGAGAAAAGAAGAAACTTATAATAACCTTCAAAATGGCATTTTATAAATGTTCCTATCCTTATCTGTTGCTTAGAAAATTGCAAAATAAATAAAAAATTTCGGTAAAGACAATGTAGGGTCTTGCAATGCATAAAATAAGATAAAATTTCAAGTCGATTAGTCAAAGGGTTTAAAAGCTATTTAATTTGTGTGTCCCAAATTAATTTTTTTTTTGCAAGAATGTAAGTAAGAAAATTAAATAGGTATATTAAATATACGGATAGATTCTAAACAAAGAAGATTTATTCTATTAATGTTATGTAAAGAAAATGAGGAAAAATGATTTTAAATATTGCAAAATAATTTGGCAAAGGCATAGCCTGAATTTATAATATATATATATATATATATATATATATATATATATATATATATATATATATATATATATATATATATATATATATATATATATATATACGGATAAATATGTTGTGATATGTAATTTAAAGCTTTCTTTGGTCATCTATCTTTATTCATTCCCTTCATGTGACCATACCACACTAGTTGTCTCGTTTCAATTCTGTCTACACTGGAATATACAGTATTTGTCCTTCTTCAAATATCTTCATTCCTGATATGATCTTTTTTGGATACACCACACTCTCTCCTTAAAAAATCCATTTCTACTAAGTACTTCTATTCTTTTTCTATCTTTTTTTGTGATCTGCCAAACTTCTGTCCCATAAGTCATAATAGGCTCTACTATTGTGATATTTAAAGTCTTGGTGCGCCAAGCAATAATTAGCTAATTAATTTTTTTGATTAATTAAAATTATTTTAATGATATGGTTATGACTCTATCACAATTTTTAGTTCTTTTATCTCAGGGTTAAATTCGTGCTTCAATATCTATGCTATTACATGTGAAAGGTAAGGTCCAAAGAATACCGGAATAATAAAAAAACACATATGATCTAACACTGTATATTGAAATAAAAATAATGAAATAATTCACACTCAAAAGTTTTCCATAAACAAAATCTCATATAATGATTCTCAAATTTTTGTTCTATGTACGTGAACAATCAAAATTAATGGTACAAACAATATTAATTGAAATCTCAAAATCCCAAACTATTCTAACTCCCCTAATCAAAGTATTTATATCCTTTCTAAATTAAGTGTACAAATTGTATTATCAATGAAAGAAAAAACTGCAGAAAACAAAACTATCTCTCTCTGATGATGAGTGGTCCAAATCCTTGTTATTTGTAGACTATACTATTTACTCGTGGCCGCTCCCTAAGTAATCAGCAATCTTACAATAAATTATTGCAAGTATCTCGTCCTTAATGATCTCCTTCAAATGCACGAATCGTTCAAATTATGCTAGCTTCTTCTTCTCTCAATATGAATCTCTCGTTGGCCTGAGTGAAAAATGACTCTTGGAATATCTTTTCTTTATGATAAACTGAATCTCTCGTTGGCCTGAACAGTGACTCTTGGAATATAAGTAGAAAAATATGACTTACAATATTTTACTGGATCAGCTTCTGTCAGATACACTAACTACACGAAAACTCACAAACTTTCACTGCTACTGCTTCCTACCTCTGGGAAACTACCCGAGAACAACGGCCGTTCGCCTTGCACCCTTGGAAACCAACTGACTATCTTTTCTCACTCCGAAATCTAGCTAAACTTTCATTCCTACATACCTATCCCACCTTTTTCAATCTCCGCCAATCAAACTCGTCACAATTTCCCCATTTTTTCATTCCGATAACAAACAACTTTTTACCTATAATTATAAAATTTCCTAAAACTTATTTACAAATAATATTTTTCTACAATTCTTAAAAACTAACATAAACCTCTTCTATTGCCTTTAATCGCTGCGTTAATGTATTTGGAAAACCCGGTTCAATTGTTCTTTGGATTTCACTTAAAATTATGCGGGTCACTCAAGTATAGTATAACAAAGGAAATAATTTATGCATAGCTTACATTTTGTTTAATACAGGTAATCCAAAAATTTAAAAACTTTCTTTCTTCGAAATGTTTGTTGGTTATTATCCTACTTATCTGAATTATTTTAATGTTTTTGAACTTTGAAATATTTTAATCAAACCAATATTTTTCTCGATTTTACATATCATAACAATATGTATATATATATATATATATATATATATATATATATATATATATATATATATATATATACGGATAAATATGTTGTGGTATGTAGTTTAAAGCTTTCTTTGGTCATCTATCTTTATTCATTCGCTTCATGTGACCATACCACACTAGTTGTCTCATTTCAATTCTGTCTACACTGGAATATACAGTATTTGTCCTCCTTCAAATATCTTCATTCCTGATATGATCTTTTTTGGATACACCACACTCTCTCCTTAAAAAATCCATTTCTACTAAGTACTTCTATTCTTTTTCTATCTTTTTTTGTGATCTGCCAAACTTCTGTCCCATAAGTCATAATAGGCTCTACCAAGGTTTGATAGATTGTCAATTTTGGTTTTTTTTTTCTAAAATCTTTAGACCATAGTAGAGAGTTTAGAATTTTTACCGCTTTTTTCCCTGTTGCGTTCTGTTTTAGATGTCTCTTTTGGTTGTGCCTTCTTTAGATATTATAGATCCGAGATATTTATATTCATTACATGTTTTTGTGTTTGTAATTTCTAACTCTGGATCTTCTTCGTCTTTTCTTATTTTAAGATACTCTGTCTTTGACATATTCATAATGAGGCCA